CAGGTGATCGGACATTTGGAGTGTTGACAAAGCTAGATTTGATGGACAAAGGAACTAACGCATTGGATGTGAGTTATCTCTCTTGCAGTACAAATATTTAAGGAGTTTTTAGTGTGGCATCACTAAATTTTCTTCTTTTTTTTTAATGACCAGAGAAAATTTTAATTTTGTATTTATTGCATTTAAAGCAAGATAGTTTTAGTAATTGGAAGCCGGCATACTTGTTTGTGATTACCGCCATTAACATCTTCATTACTGGTATCTGTCACCTTTTTTCTGGTTTACTATGTTGAGTTTCCTTCCATGTGATTGGTTAGGTTGACCAGAACCTGCCAATACACTTCTAGAACATTCCTCCTCTTTTTTTTTTTTTCAATGTTTCTTTGTTGAAATCTTTGGCAAATTTAATAGTTTTCTGCTATTGGATATCTTCTTATTTCCCATGAAAGGTTCTTGAAGGAAGATCTTACCGGTTGCAACAACCTTGGGTGGGGATTGTTAATCGTTCACAAGCTGATATAAACAAAAATGTTGATATGATTATTGCAAGGCGGAAAGAACGTGAATACTTTGCTACAAGTCCCGACTATGGACACCTAGCTAGTAAAATGGGTTCGGAGTATCTTGCAAAACTTCTCTCAAAGGTATGATTGTGTGGGTCCAAATTGTTTAATATTATGTCTTTATAGTTTAAAAAAAAAAGTAAAATAAATGTTGCTTTTACTTTCAGCACTTGGAGACTGTAATTAGGTCAAGAATACCAAGTATTACATCTTTGATTAACAAAAGCATTGATGAACTCGAAGCTGAGATGGACCACCTTGGTAGGCCTATTGCTGTCGATGCAGGGGTGAGCGGCTGTATTTCATTAGTAGTATTCTTGGATGAGACAATATGTGTCATTTTAGGGACTGAATTGCTGTTTCTCAGGCTCAATTGTACACCATTTTGGAACTTTGCCGTGCTTTTGATCGGATATTTAAGGAGCATCTGGATGGAGGGTGAGTAATGTATCCTCTTTCTCCTTCTCAGATACATATTGAATTTTTTTTCGAATACACTTATGAGAACATGATCTAGTGTTTCATCTGAAGTGAGGACGCATGAGTTGATCTGATACTTTCTTTTTTTTTCTGTGGGGTGTAGGGTGTTTTATTTTTATTTGGGGGGGGGGGGGGAGGGGAAGTTGATGTTGGAACTTGCAACCACCTGTGGCCAGGAGGAGTGAGGGCACTGCCTCACCCCAAATCATACTTCAGACCCTATTTAGGGAATTTATGTTAATGTTCATTTAATGCACATATATATGTGCTTTGGAAAATCTTAATATCCTTGGTGCATCTGCTAAGTTCTGGCTAGAAATTACCTAATATGTAATACATGAGTTTAGGTTGTTCATTTGTGTCATACCAAACTCACTCCATGTAATAACCCTAGCATTAGTATTCAAAATTTGTTATCAAGAATGGCCATTCCAAGAAATGAGAGCCATCACCATATCTGAGGGTACCTATGAAGCACGGACACTCTCGAAAAGGTGATGTATCCGTGTCGGACACCGACACTCTTCGGACACTTTCGAACACGTGTCCGATACTCTTTTATCCGTGTCTAAATTCAATGATAAATTTTTAATTTCAGACACATATCAGACACTTCTTTGGTGACGTTGGACACTTCTTTAAAACGTGTCTACTAAACAATAAACATGTGTTGAAATGTAATGAACAAAGTTCAAAATTTTTAAAATATATAATTACTAACACTATTCATGTTAAAATTGTACTCCAAATATAATAATAAAAACAAAAGATGTATAAAAGTTTAAAAAAAAAAGAATTGAGAAAATGAAATCAATTATTTAAATTATATGTTAGTACCACATTGTCTACACAAAAAATTGATGATTATTGACTATTATGAGGATGTTTTAGTCTAAAAATTTACAAAAATGACTAGACATTAGATTTACTTATCATAAATTACTGAATCTTTTATGAATTGTATATTATTATCACTATATTTGCAATAAATTATATAATGCTGTATATAAAGCATAATTTTTTTTGTAGCATGCCCTAACGTGTCCATATCCTACTTTTTTTAGAAATGTCACGTCAACGTGTCCGTGTCGTGTCGTATCTGTGTCCCATATAAATGCAAAACTCATCTTCTGTTAGATTGCTGCTCATTTTGTAAAAATTATTTAATTATTTTTTAGCTCCATATTTTAGGAGAACTGGTTACATTTGTCATATGTGTGCTAAAAGAAATGGTATGAAATCCCTTGAAACTGTATCAACTGGTTGTATATATGCGTAAACATTTAAGATGAAGAATTTGATAAGCTATTCATAGGAGAGAACTTGGCAGGCGGTTAAAAGTCAGAGGGCCAGTAGTTTCACAAATGGAAGATTATTTGAGTCTCATATAGAACTGTTAGAAATGATGGTTGTTTCAAGTTGTTCTACTACTAAATTGGGGTTGGGGAAGCAGTTTGTCTAACTAAGCTAAACTTATTGCATGGTCATTGTTTTATAAGCTGAGTTGTTTCTTCAGCACACGACCAGCTAAAGATGCACTTTTAACTGAGGCATGTTTTTACTTTTAATGTGTTATGCCTTAAGTTTATTGATTTTTTTGCTTTTGCCCCCATTTTTCTTGAACCTTAGGACGTGCTTATATCATTTGGCCTTCCCATGGACGATTGAATTTTTTTGCTTATTTCAGGCGGCCTGGTGGTGATCGAATTTATGGAGTTTTTGACAATCAGCTTCCCGCTGCTTTGAGGAAGCTTCCATTTGATCGGCACCTTTCAATACAGAATGTCAGGAAAATTGTTTCAGAGGCAGATGGATATCAACCACACTTGATCGCCCCTGAGCAAGGTTATCGGCGGCTTATTGAAGGGGCATTAAATTATTTTAGGGGTCCAGCTGAAGCTTCAGTGGATGCTGTAAGTACTTATGTGCTATTTTAGTGGTGTCCTATGTAGACTTTCAGCCCACATTTGTCGCACTATTGCTGTACTTATTGCCACATCAATGCTTAGGTTCACTTCGTCTTGAAGGAGCTTGTAAGGAAGTCAATTGGAGAATGTCAGGTGACATAAGAACTTCATCTCATGGTTTTCTAGTTGAGCGATGCTCTCCAGTCCCTGATCAGGAATATTTTCTAAATGAAAATTTTTATTTCCACGGTGGAACAGGAGCTGAAGCGGTTTCCATCTCTTCAAACTGCAATAGCTGGAGCTGCCAATGAAGCCTTGGAAAAGTTTCGTGATGAAAGCAAGAAGACAACTCTTAGATTGGTGGACATGGAATCTTCATACCTGACTGTGGATTTCTTCCGGAAACTTCCCCAGGAAGTGGAGAAAGGGGCAAACCCAGCTGCCACAACTATTGACCGTTATGCGGAGGGTCACTTCAGGAGAATAGGCTCAAATGTGTCCTCTTATGTTAGTATGGTTTCTGAGACACTCAGGATCACAATTCCCAAGGCAGTGGTTCACTGTCAAGTTAAGGAGGCCAAACAGTGTCTGCTCAATTACTTCTATACACAAATTGGAAAGAAAGAGGTATTCCTGTCTCCCTTCCATATTTCTATGCATTCGAATGTTGGATATAATCAATTTTTACAGGATATGTGGCTTGCTGATAAAATCTGCCACCGAAAAATAGATTTTTGGTACTAAGATGCACAGTAATGTAAGTAGCTAGGATAAATATGATTCGAAAGATCCTGAATTCATACTTTACAGGTTTTCCAGATATAAGTGACACCCAGGCCATAACCTAAAAATAGATTATGTTTAATACTAAAAGAAACATCATATAATGGATAGCATTTGTGTGTTGTAAATCCCTATCTAGACCACTTGCTAATGTTGATGCCCATTTTTTATAGAAACTTTGTTGCATTATTGATATGCTACAAGGACTGCTGTGTAAAGTAGCAGGTTAAAAATTGTGGTATTGTATTGGTCACCAACTTATTGGCCTTATTATTTACCCAAAAAAAAAACTTATTGGCCATATTGGGGCAATGTATAATGACACACACTCAAGGATCAAAATTTCGTTTCGAAGTACCGTTTCGGTCAACTCAAAAATAGAAACGTTTCGGAAACATTTCGGAAACGCAATGGAAAAGCAGAAAAAATATGGAAACGCATAGAAACACAAATGCAATCCATTAATTTATAAAGATATGCTAAATAATTTATTAATTCAACATATTTATTAGGTTAACATCAATTTATAGAAGAATAAATTTAAATTTGAGGGAAAAAAAGGCTTGACTTGAGGCGAAAGTCACTTAAATTAGTTTCAAACACTTAATTTTTATGAAATAAACACATTTTTACATAATATTAAGGTCTTATAATACACATGAAATGCTAATGAGTACATACTTACATGGTTACATCCATTCCCCTGTGGAGTGTCGAGCAGGCTCATACATCGGTGTAGGCTCTGGGTAGCTACTTAGAGAAACTCCATATGTGACATAAATATGATGACAATAGTTACTCCAAATCATATTATTACGGTAATATAATCCAATTAATATTACTATTTTATTATAATACTAATAATGAAGGGTATCAAATTAAATTAATGATACTTATGTATACTTAAAAATTAAATGTAATTGCAGTGGGTATTAAATGTAATTACAGTAGGTATTAAATATAATTACATTAGGGTATTAAATGTAATTGTTAATACTTATCACAAAAAAAAAAGCAAAAAACTTGCATAGCAGTGATGTATTAAATATAATTACAGTATGTATTAAATATAATTATAATGAGTATTAAATATAATTATAGTAGGGTATTAAGTGTAATTATTTATTCTTATAACAAAAAAATTATAAAAGACAGAAGAGCAGTGAGAATTAAATGTAATTATAGTGGGATATTAAATATAATTATAGTGAGTATTAAATGTAATTACAGTGGGTATTAAATGTAATTATAATGGGGTATTTAATGTAATTATTCATAATGAACCGAATATATCACTGTTTTGTCGAAACGGTACTGTTTCGATCGAAACGGTTCGAAACAATGCCGTTTCGACCGAAACGGTCCGAAACAGTACCGTTTCGACCGAAACACTGGAATTTTGTGATTCAACTACTGTTTCGTTTCGGAGTGTTGAAATTCCGAAACGTTTCGGACGTTTCGGACGTGTCGACACGACATTTTGATCCTTGCACACACTACATAAAAGGCATGAGAAATATTAGTGATAACCCAGTGCCTGAAGACATTCTATAATACCAAAAATTGAGCATTGATTGATCAACATTTGTATTTTAAATAATAATTTATTATTATTTTTAATCACTCGATTTAAAATTAAGTGAACAGAAATAAAATAAGAAAGAGGCTGGCGTATATTAGTGGGAGTGTGCTAGTTTAATTCTTTGACTTTAGGGGACTGTGCAGAGAATATGATTTTTTTGCGGGAGAATTTTTTCTGCAATGAATTTTTTATAATTTGATCAAAGTAGATGAAAATTGAATCAATTTTAACCATATAAGTTGAGAATTCAATTTTTTAGCTATAATATTGGATAGATAGAGAACGTCAAATGAATATTTAAAAAACAAACAAAATACACTAAACATGTTCAAAGTTCATGAATCCAAGGAAAAAATATATAGCCTTGTATATTATATTATCAATATTCAACTCCAAAACTACTATAACATTGTATTTTTTGTAATCTATTTTGAACTCCAAAAATAATCATGATGCAATGCAAGGAACAAGTAAATCATTGTCTGTAACCATTTCCCTTCTCAAAATGCTGATCCCATCGAACTTCTTTATTCCATATTAGCATCATTATAATCATTCCACCTTGGCCTCTAACTTCATTTCCCTTGTCAGAATCTTCATTGTCTTCAACTTTTTGAATGAAATTGCAATTTTTAACATGGGATTATTCCAGTTTTTTTTTTCTTTTGAGTTGAAATAGCAAAAAAAATTAATTTGTCTAAGATTTTTAAATTTTTTAAGAAATTTGAAGTAATCTTCATACAGACTTATAAGATGATTATATCTCAATCTAAAAAGAATACACAAATCTCTGTTTACATTAGCATGTTGGAGAATCTTCCCTACTTTCAAGCTTCCATGTGTTGGGAGACACTTGCAGCACATGTAGATAAAAGAACACTAAAGAGAAAGTAAGAATTTTTGGTTCCCATGCATGTTTTGGTGAGGAAGCCCATCAAAGACTACTTTCAGGATCCATTTGGATTTTGCCAATTCAACTGAGTTGTCAGGCTGCTTGGAATTGACCCTTCCAGCTGATCTCACCCATATGGGATTCAATTTGCTGTTTTATTGTTTGTCAACCATGTATAGCCGTTTCTACTATTGAAATTTGATATCGTCTCGATACCCACCCTGATTCAAAGTTGACGACTCAGCTGATGGCCTTGGTGTTATTCGCTACTATAGTTTGCAGGGACTCTAGTTCCATTCTTGCACAGTATTCCCATGCTTCTTGAATTGTTGCGAGTGTTCTAAGAAGATGAACACATCTTATGGTAAACACCTCAAAATGAGCCATTTGATTCCTTTTGGGTTAATGCTACCAAAATTGTTTTTTTTTCTGTTTTTACCAACTGTGACTGCATCTATCTGAGGTAGAGGTTCTATAAGGTATCATACTCTCGTTGTGTTCATAAGACATGTAGCTTGGATATATTGACATAGGTGACGAGGCTGGTGAGACTATGAGAGTGTTTACCTACCTTTTTAAAGCTTGCAGACTGATTTAAACCGCAGCAATAATTACATCTTCAATAATACATATCATTTTGCCTAATGTTTCAGGGTAAGCAACTAGTAGAACTGTTAGATGAAGATCCAGCATTGATGGAGAGGAGGTTAGAGTGTGCAAAAAGGCTTGAGTTGTACAAGTCTGCCAGGGATGAGATTGATTCTGTAGCATGGGTTCGATGAGATTGATGCATATCGGAGATATATTGTATGATAGCGCAGGTCACAGAACGGATGATTACAGACTCCCTCTGATTGTTCAATTGTTTGGAAGTTGAAATTCTTTATTGTCATTGTCTTGCAGTTTATGCATACACTTGTTGATTTGGAATGCTAGGTTTTTTGTTTACTGTTGTAGTTCTTTATAGATTTTACACCACCCTCCTATATAACATATATTAATTTGCATTTTTTTCTCCCTCGGTTCTCTGTTTTATGAATGATCAGTGCCTATGGCGTTTCTAAAATTGTAAGAGTAAAGATTGTCGGGTTTCATTTCATCAATTTTTTTAGATGCGGGGGGATGATTAATGTTTTTTTTTATTCTCTCCTTTCCTGTTTTCCTAATTTTTTTTTAGGTTAAATAATAAAGGGTGACGGGGCCAGGTTATCTACATCTCGATTAATCTCTTTTTTGGTTCAATCAAAGCTTGACCTGTTACGCTAAGATTAGGAAATTCATGAGGGATAAATTTTTATGACTTAATGTTAATGAATTATCAAGATTCAAATTTAGGACGTCTGATTTTACAATTCGTTTTTACCTATTGCCACTTTCTCGTGTGATTTATCATTTTCTTTCCTTTTTTCCTGTTCTCGTACTCTTGTCACTTAAAAAGTCATAGGGAGTATTATAAAAAGTAATAGGGAAGTATTTTTTATAAAAAAGTTTAACATTGTAGGTGATGAAACATTAATTTGTTTTTTTATTTTTTGCAAATGATGCAAGTATGTTCAGATTGAAGGGAACTATTTTTTAAAAAATTAAGTAAATTTAGAATTTGAATTAAGCATTTACGAAAGAGGGCTCCCCAAGCACTCTTGTCACAATTAGATTGTCATATATGTAGAGAAATTACAGTTTTATATTTATGGTGCTTTAGAACAGAACACCCCCCCCCCCCCCCCCCCCTTACATATGCAGAGAGATTGAAGTTTTAGAAAAAAAATTTCAAGCATTAAAATACTCTATTTCAACCACCAAAAAACCCCACTTCTTGTCCAAATTCTTTAATGAAATCCCAAAAAAGCCCTCTCCATTAATTAAATGTCATATATAACATTAAATAGTTCATGGAATTCCAAAAGAACAATGCTATGTATTCTAAATTTTTAACCCAAATTTTTATCTCAAATCAAGGGAGACCATTAGATCAATGAGTCCCATTTTTAAAAGTTGATAGGGCTCACTCATCCAATGGTCTTCCTTCATTTGGGATGAAAATTTAGATTGAAAATTTGGGATACATAGTATTTCTCATTCCAAAAGCCTTTTTGTTTAATGAAATATTATGCATTTTCATATTAAATAATATTTCGTAATATGATATCATTATCAATCATATCAATGTTTTGTGGAGTGAAGGTTTTATGAATAATTTTTTTATTAGTTGAATTCGTATTTTCTAGTCATTTTCGTCAATAAAATAAATAATATTAAAGTTAGAAAATTAAATTCTCATTTTCTTTAATATTTCACTATATATCCAAATAAAAAAAATAATATTAAAGTTAAAGAATTAAATTCTCATTTTCTTTGAATCTCATTTTGTACCTTAAAAAGATTTAAAATTTTTTACTTTGTACCATTAAAATTTAAAATTTTCATATTATACCGTTAATGTATAAAAAAAATTACAATGCTATCCTTTCGTTAACATCCGTTGTTTATTTTGTTAGAAATCACCCCCATTGAATTTGATGGAATGAGTGATAAAAGCTAAAAGAAGGACCATATTATAATATTTTTAATAAATTGAGGGTATAATATGAAAATTGTTTAATTTTTAAAAGTATAAAATAAAAAATTCTTAAATTTTTTAGGGTATAAAGTAAGATTAGCCCTATTAGTAACCGAGATGCGAAATGGATTTGGCTCGTCCGTCCATAAGTCCACTCGGACCCATTACCAGAATCGGACTCTAAAACCCTCCAACGGCCTTCACTCTTCACATCCTCTTGAGAGAGAGAGAGAGAGAGAGGATGAATGGGACCTCCGGTCTCTTACGACTATGGCAGATTCCATCCACTTCTCTGTTATGTAGACGCTCCAAGTTTTTCAACGGTTCTTTCTTTATCTACATCTATTGTATCTGTACATATAAGCCGATGAATCTTTGTCTGATATTCCCTGTTGACCTCTGCAAGTAAATTTCATGAACACCCACATATTTGAAATATCTTGTTACTACTCTGTATGGGTTTTCTTTGTGTTCTTTTCTTAATGCAATGGGAAAAAAGACTATGGGGTTGATATTGGTTCGCTTGTTTATGCTGTTATATGGCTTTAAATTAGTGTACCCATTGCATAAAACTCTTAGATATTGCCGGGATTAACAATTGCCCATGTGCTTGATTGTTTTACTTTTATTTTGTTTATCATTTCCATGTCTCAGCTCTTCTATTTGATTGTGCTTTCTAGTTGAACATTTTACTTGCACTAATTGCATGAGTTATTGTTGTTTATTCTCAGAAATATCCTAATTGGCAATTTGTTTGATATGCAAAATTGTGGAAAAAGGAAGAAACTTTGTGCATGAGTTTTCTTTCTTGTTTTTTCATCAGATGCAAAAGGAAAACTGGTCTATACTACACCGAAGAATTGTGTTAGTCTTCTTCGGTGACAGTGTTTTTCATTTCATTAGATTCCAAACAAGTACATATGTATATTAGAAATTGTATTGCTACCAAATGGATCCATGAATCCGTTATTTCTTTTTGTTGACTTCTTTTATTTCATTTAAATGTAAAACCAACCGTAGTCTTGATTTCAATTTCGAAATGGTGTGCGATATCTATTCTTTCTCCACTTACTAATAAATGCAGTCAAATGCAGGTTTGTATCTGGTCCCTGGAACGGTTATAGATCCGACCCTGTGCTTCTGTAACCATATCCAGACTACTGCTTACGGAGTTGTGAATAGAAGTTATGTAATGTCTATACAGGCCAACCAACAAAATAGCATAGAGGTATTTTTCCCTTTTAATGTTTCTTTTGAGGTTTGAAGAAGTTGCCACGAAAAAGTAACAAATCGAGATTTGGTAACTTCCTTTTATCATCTGATGCCTCGTGATTAAGTGGAGAAGAATTAATTGTGAATTATTCATCATCTCTACATGTAAGTGGGGTCATGACTGGGCCATGTGACAACATTTAACACGCCATCATTGATGAGGAAAGTGAAAACATAACGGAGAGTTGAACACAGGGAATACATAAGAATTTCCATGGCGAGGATTTAGGAGGTGGAAGGAGTAACGTTGATTAAAGGGGCAGTTTAGGTGGTTAACTTTATGGATCAAACACCTTGGTGATAAAAATCGCTAAATCTTTTGTTGCAAGAGCGGACCAAGTTAACAGTGTTCTTGAGATTATTGCATTACTAATGAGGAATGGCATTAGAAAACTTAGAATAGTTCTGCCTACAATTGATTAATGGTGGGCTATTGCCACGAAAGCTGGAAAGCCTAGAACTACAATGCTCCAAAGATAGAAGTATTGTTCTAGGCTTGATCTTTTCTTTCATTTTTCGTCTTGTCATTTGGATAGGCTTGATCCTAAAGTGTTTATGTTGCAGGAATTTTAGAGGGTTGGATGTTAAAGTTGTGGTTAGCAATTACTTTAGAGCTTGGGTGATGAGTTAATGACCAAAAGGTGTGGTAAGGTTTTGGGGATCACTTTCACATAGGGCCTTCTTAATGTCCACAAACAATAACATCGCAGATAGAAATCAAAAAGAAATAAATAATTTGTTAAAAATCTTGTCTAGAATCATCTAGGACTCATCACATAAGGTTAAATTGCATCATCAATCTCTGGATTCCAAGACTTTGAGATCAATAGTAAGAAAAAGATATGTATAGCATTCTGATAAGGGAATATCATAGACAGACATCCAAGTGGCCACCTACTTCTAGACGTTCTTATATAGAAGAGTTCAGAGAATGTAGAAGTGAAAATGGCTGTTACCCAGTTTGTTTTCCATTAGTCAAGGGTGTTGGGATAGGTGGATTGGCTATAAACCTATGATTTGGCATAATTTTTTCAATATGGCTTCTCTAAGATGGGGACCACTAACTTGCTGCATTGTCGGCCTGAGCTTTTACCACTACACTAACTGATGGTCCATGGCAAATCTAAAATTTGTTCAGTCCTTTTTGTGGATCGGTGGTAGAGGAAAAATAAAGCTAACTTGTGATCTTTTAGATTCTTCAAATAGTGTGCAAACTTTAGAAAAGTCACTAACTTCATGAGCATATGTAGCATTAATGAATGGAATATAATGTGATTAGGTTTTTTTGGTGTTATTCTTGTTCAGAGAGCTTGCATCCCACATCAAATAATTAAGACCACCAAAGTTGATTTATATACTTGAGGGGCTATTCTACCTATTAGCAATTGGTTTTGGTTTGGATGCCCTAACAATTCTGAAGCTGTTTGTAAGATCTTTTTGAGAAATCTTGAAGCTTTTTTAAAAGAAAAAAACTTTGTAAGAATCTGAAATGGGATTTTTTTTACTGTTCTAATCCCAGTGCCTAGTTGTTTTTCTTGCATTCCTTGTTTTCATTAGTTTTCCACCTTGTTCTACATGCCTATTAATTGGAAAGGAATAAGTGGTCTGAAAAGACGAATGTGGTGTTTGTTCCATTATTAGGACAAATCATCAGCACTGCCTGAAACTGTTGGTGCATTTCAAAAGCTACCCATGGTGATGCCATCCGTTGATATTTTATATTCGGCAATGAGGAAAGCAAGGAGGGTCTCATCTACAAAGGGTAATTGATCCGGTCAGCATATTTCATTTCAACATTGACACCACTGAATTATTAGATACTAGTTGGATTATCAAAGTGCTAAATGTGCTATTTAGTTTGTTTGTTTCATAGGTATTGCCAATATTGCAAAACGAGAGAGAAATAGAGGCGCAAAACAACTCGATGCATTGATGAAGGTAAGTTTGTAACCTGATAATGTCATACCAAATGTATGACTAATCCTTTATTTTGTACTTTTCATGTGGAACAATACTAATGCTGATGTCATGCTTCGTGTTCCATCTTTAGGAACTGGCCGTTCCCTTAAGGACATACAAGGAGAGCTTCCCAAACAAAAAACATTTGCACCCTTATGAGAAGTCTTTGATTGAGTTGACCCTTGGGGATGGAAACTATGAAGAGGTAAGTGCGACGTAGTTTACTGGTCTTGTTGTGTACATGCAGGTTCTTTGTGGCTCTGACAACTTTTTTTCGATGTGCATTGTAATAGGATTAAAAGACTATAACAACTTTATTGTGTGGTTTACTGGGAATAAAACTATGCAACAAATTATAGTGCAAATTGCATCTTCATCCCTATGGTTTTTTATAACTCCATGGGTTACTGTCATAGTTTTTGAAATTACACTGCCACCTCTCTGTCACATTTTGTCACCTAGCGATGTTGACGGAAGAAACTCAATCAATATTCTGCCCATAAACAAACTAAAAGTACCAAATTTTGACTTATATTTTTATCCCTTTTCCTCGTACTCTTTTCTCAAACATAGAGAGGCAGCATGTCCCCCAGTCAATTTCCCTGATGGAAAGTTTGGTGGTTTTCTGACTAGGTTTGGAGGGGGTTTGGATGGAAGTATTTTTGGAAGTGAGCTTCGAGTGGTGGAGGTGAGCTCTGATTGGGTTTTGGAGGGGATGGTGATGAAAGTTGCCATTGTACAAGGTCATGGTTGATACCATTAACTCAAGAGGGTAATTAAATGCATCGGTTGCGGCGACTCAATCTAATTTTGGATTACACGCCTGAAGTGATTGATAGAAGAAGTTGGAGATATTGAGAGATTAAGGCCATATTGCAGAGTCACATAAGCGTATCGAGCAATACGTTGCGAGTCAATGATTGATGACTTGGAGACTCGACAGCTGGGTGAAACTCATGATGTACGCAGAACATTGAACCATATCAAAACAGAAAGTATCATGTCAAATGTGACTGGAATGAGTCATGTAATGATCAATAGATTCATGGTTTTCAAGGTGGGGGCAGTTGCTGCTAATGGGGAGGGGCATGAGTTTAATTATTGGGTTGGGTAGGCTGTGGGGGTGACGTGTGGTGTGGAGGTGTAACTTGCAACAGTGAAAGGGGGGGGGTTAAGTTGTATTAAGGGGTGTCGTGGGGAAGTTGTGGCCGTTTGGTGTGTGTGGAATGTGGATTCAATTATTTGGTTCTTTTGGAAATATTTTTTATTTTTTCATTTTTCAAAAGGTCAATATAAGTATTTCAAGAAAGTGTGCTTATATCATTAAACTAAAGGAGAGTTACTCTATGAATTTTAAACCCAAACAAGAAGAGAGTGCATTATAATTGTAGAAACTACGAGGGCATCTTTTTTTAAGTGTTGAGAAACGTAATGGGTGCTAGTGTAATTTATCTTAAAATATAATGAATTTGTAATTCCCGGAATTGTGCATGCTTCTCATTTGACAATAGTAGTATGAGGTCTTTTTCTTTTCATTATTATTAGTAGTAGATGCTTTCTTCGTTCTTTGTCTGTCTAAGGTAGTAACACTTGCAAATGTATGGTTGAATACTCTGAGTGTTCTTTTTTGCTAGTGTGTATATGTTCTATTTTTGCTTCTTTATTTTTTGACCATGTCTCATTAGTCTAATTTTTTCATGTTAAGTCATTACGTATCCTTTCTGAACTCTATGCACAGGTTTTAGGAAAGATTGACGCTTTGAGGAAGAAGGTGGTATCAGTTGGAAAGGAACATGCCTCCCTTTGTGCTAAGGTTGGATTTATCTCTATCAAAACTGAAGGCTGTTGTGTCGTTAGCCTGGTCCTCTTGGAGTGTAACTATTTAAATATGATCACTAGTAATTAAATGCAACAAACAATTGGATCGGGGTTTCTTGACACCTTCTATCTTGGTTTTGGGCCGTATAAAACATAATATTCTTTTATCAATGTTCCAAAATCTTTATTCAATTGAAGTGCAACCTTGTATGTAATTTATTTTTTGAATTTCTGTAATATTATGCCTCTAGACATCATCTTTTTGTCATCTTCTATGCCTAAAGACTTGTTTTTTTTACATGGAACTAGACATCGATGATTGATGGAGGGCAGGTCTTAGGAAACTTGGTATCATGAAATTTGTGGTATTGCAGTTTTACAGATAGAAGGAAGATCAAAGGTTTTGGGGTATAAAGGGTTGCAATTGGTTTGATTTAAAAAGTGGTAGGTTGAAACAATGTAAGAAAATGAGCCGCCACTCTTTTTAGGCCCTAAGTAGGGAAAATTGTTTGAAACGATAGGGGCTTGGTACGGTAGGACTATGGTATGTTATGGAATCTTCATGATTGATTCAGTTGAAATCTTGCATAGTGTGTTATCTCATCTCTGGTGCACCCGGACACTGAGCTAACTTAAAGGTGACTACCACATACAAGTCAACGTTACCAGCCACTCTTATATTCTATATTTTGTGTTGGTCCTGAAGTTTTCCAAACAGCCCTTAGATTTCGTGATGCAAAAGTTTTTGCCCTCTATCCTTTCATAGCTGTTATGGTTGTAAAAATAAGCATATAAAGGTTAAGTTTGAGTCAAACAAGACAGTTTCTCAGGTGTTGAATGGTACCACCCTCTTTTTGATCCCTTTGGGTTTCCTTATAAATAAATTGCTCAGTGCACTTATTCTAAATTTTAAATGGTGACTGTACTTTCTATCAAACTCGTGGAAAGTAAATATCAAACTTTCGCATTCTAATTATAATATGTTTAGACAATCATTTTACTCTTTCCAAAAATTCAATTAAAATACCCCAAAATATTGCTCATAAAAAAAGCCTACAAATATTCTGCCTGTGGTATCTAAATAATCCTATCCCTTGTTTACCCATTTTTTTTAATAAGTGGCCTTTTATGTTTCTGTTCTTGTTTTTGTATCAGAATGATTCGCATCCCATGTATCATTGGTCCTCCATAATTGCAATTCCTTGCTCTCCTCTCTGGCTGTGCTGATTTGGCAGGTGGAAATTGGGCCTATTGTTACTTTGGCTTGGTAGTTGGTGGTACAATGGTCAATACCAAGACGGTACTCTAACAAAAAGTCCAGATGTCGGTTCTATGCTAGTTTAGTGGTGAGGGAATTGGCCATTTTCCTTTTGCTGTCCTTGCAGAGTTCGATAGCTAAGACTCCTAAGATATAGCCAGAAGTGTGAGTCCTTTCGGATACTACATCCTGCATTGGAATACCCCGGTGTGCTCTTGGCAACGGTTTTAGTAGTTGCATTTTCTGGCCTTGTGACATGAGACATCCTTGCTACTATATATTGTTTACATGGTAAAGAGAAATCTAGATCTTTGAGGATAATTGTGGCCCACTTGAGGTGGCTTCAGAATAAATGCTTTTTTTAAATCTCTTTCAGTGTACCGGAAGGCATTCCTCCAGGATTTAAATCTATGAAACTAGAGTTCAGAGGTTGTTCATTCACCGAAAAGTTATAAAAGTGTGGGAGCTGCTTCCAATCAATTGAACAGGGTTTGGTTTTTATAGTTTCTTTACTGGAAATCCTGGCCCACTGGGTGTTGATGCCATTTTGGAGACCTGCGATAATATTTTGATGTGTCTTTATGAGTCTGCTACCAAATAGAGATTTCAGGTTCCATTGGATGTTTTCTGGAGGTTGCCTCATTTTGTCCTTTGTCCTTGCCTGGTTTAACTATGGAAGTTCTGGACTTGGTGTCTTTCTTTGCATGGCTAACAAGGCTACTGAATTTCTGGATGACAGGGGATCCTTCACTTTTGAATTTTTGAGTGATTTCTTTTATGTACTGGTGGGGGCTGTTATGTGTAGTTTTTTAATTAAACAATTTATTCATTTCCTTTTTCTGGATGTTACATTTCTTTTTCTTCTATTCTCCCTGTTGTTGGGGGGACATGTCCTTTAGTTGTTTTCATCTTTCTTTTCTGAAGGTATTTTTTAAACCCAGAAGATACTTTTCCATTTGTGTTTGTTGAGAATACCTTTAATGATAGTTTGTTCTCTAAAAACTTATGCTAATAGTGTATTTAATATAAATCTTCACAGTCTTTGTCAAAGCGAGAAGCAGAGGAACGGTTGGGTGAGGTTAGTTATTATTATTTGCAAGCTCCACCAAGTTTATGCCATTTTTTCCTGTAAATTACTTGCTCTCATTTTATCTGCAGGGAATAAAAAAACTTGAAGAGATTTTTCATCATCAAGGAAAAGCTGTTGATGAATTGTTGAACATTGCCAAGGTAATTTGTGTCTGAAAATGCAAAGATTTTGAAGGAAGCTTAGGTATTCACCTTGGGCTTGGCTCAAATCAATAGTTGTTTTGATCTCCTGTTCCCTGTGTTCTTCAAATAAATTATTTCAACCGTGTCACAAAAATTTGTGTATCATGTATGCCTGCATGTAGGTGCAAATTATACCATGGTCAAATAGATGCATTGTGTTAGAGATCCAATTTTATGCTTTCCTGCACAGTTCTTTGGTGCACTCTCCATGAGAAAATCTCTTCAAAAGATTTAAAATCAATGATAATTGAGATATTACTCCCCCTAAGTGCTCCATAAAGTAACCTATATCATGATAACCAGAACAAGTTAGTGCACAAGGCTCCGCTGCTGCAGGGTCTGGATATGGTCCGATATATGCTGCCTTATCTTCTGCATTTGGAGATGCTATTTCTATGACTCAGAACCCATGATGCTGACGTCATAATGAAGCAATTATATAGCTGCACCAAGGCCCGCCTACTTGAGGTGGCTCGGGAATAACATGAATAATCAAGGATTTCTGATGATTCTAGCTCCTATTTTGTTTACATGCATTAAGGAATCTAGATACATATATGTCATAATCATTGTTTGATTTTTTTTACTTGTCGGGATAATCATTGTTTAATGAAAAAAATGATTTTGCAGACTTTGCGGGCAATGCCAGTAGTGGATCTAGAAACACCGACACTTTGTCTGGTTGGAGCTCCTAATGTGGGGAAGTCATCTTTGGTCCGTATACTCTCAACAGGAAAGCCTGAGGTATACATATGGACTGATTAGATGTATGTTGTTTGTTTAGCCACATAGGTTACATATAGTCTTTTGATCTGGAAAAATGTGTTCTGCTTTAATGAGAACATTTTTAGTGAAGCCAATTAGTGTTCTCTCTCTTACTTTTGTTGAAAATGTGAATCTTTTGAAATGAGCATTGAGAAGCTGGTATGGTCACAGTAGTAGTAGAGTCCTTTCCTACGTTTGATGTCATAGAAGAAGAACCAAGAAGGTTAATTTATCTGGGTTACTTCGAGGGAACCCTGGCCTCCTGTTACTCAAAGAGATTTTTAATTAGTCAGAAGATACTTTATATTCATAGCAGCTGGAATTTATAATGCTTACAGGTAACAGAATTAAAAAACAATTCAACATCTTAAGGCAATAAAATAGGAATAGACTCCATAACATCTTAACAAACTAGAAAACAAAACAGACTTCCCTTACTACTAGAACTGTCAAGCTGACTCTGTCTCTTTTATTTCACATCCTTCTGACTTGGTTTTCTTCCAAAAGGCCTCCTACTGCCACATACCACCCACACACTTCAATTGAAACATCCTTTCCCCCTTAAGTTCGGTCCTTGTCCTCAAGGACGTAATCAGGGAATTATCTCTTCATATTGTTCAAATCTTCCCAAGTGGCTTCAGATGGCGAAAGTCACTGCCAATGACCTAAAATTTCTTTCTTCCTCTTCTGCAGACGATGATCTAGAATTGCTTGAGGCCTTGGGATTGCTGATCATCTTCTTTGGTTACCATGGGAAGCTAAGGTTGAACCATTACCTTGTCCCAAGCTTTTTCTTAAGCAAAGACACATGAAACACCGGATGAATACGAGTTCCAGCAGGCAATTCTAACTTGTAGGCTACTGCCCCTATCCTTTTAAGCACCTTGAAGGAACCGTAGTACTTAGGAGATAGCTTGAGATTTTTTCTAAGGGATAAGGAAGCTTGCCTATATGGCTGAAGTTTGAGATATACCCAATCTCCCTCAGAAAACTCTCTCTCTGTATGCCGCGAATCATACACCATTTTCATTCTTGCTTGGGCCTCCTTGAGATTCCCCTTTAATTCTTTGACAATTTGATCTCTATTTAACAATTCTTGCTCCAGGG